GGAGGAGGGCTTCGTCACAAAATGACAGCAGGGAATTGGGGGGAATGATGGGATGGTTCTATGTCTTGATCATGGCAGTAGTCACAGACAGCATGCACATGTCAAAACTAAAAAAGTAGTATACTTAAAAGGGTACATTTTACCTTGATTTTTAAAAATGAAAAACAATGCTGCATAATCTATACGAGCTGATGAAAAAAATAAAAAGATATAGAAAAGATATAGAGATATAGATATAAATATCTTTTGATACATTTTTCCTGTGTTGCAATGATTCTCTCCACACTACACATTGTCACAGAAACCTAATACTATACAAGTGGTCAGAAGAAACGCAGTAGCAGAATTGAGGGCCATATCCTCTGCATTTATCAACATTCCTTAATGCCCTCAGCTACGATTATATCTACCCCCAAGAACTCATGTTATTTCTCATACCGGTTTTAAGAGCTTAAGTGTCTAAAACAACTCCTATCCACACGATCTCATTAACCACTCAGTCATGGCAGGAATTTCTGTCCGTGTGCTATTCCTCTCCAGATACCCTACTTTAAAACCAACATAGGGTTTAAGATTTGGGAGATTGAAAAACAATCCCCAAAGAGTTGGACTTACACAAATCTAAGTGAGAAGCAGCCTAAAAATCCCCTTCCCACTATATCCCCCTCCTCTCCCCTTCCCATAAACCTCTTTCTCCCACCCCACCCCATTTCTCCCTCCCTCCCTACCTCTTCAGCCAGCCTTCCCCACCTCTTAAAGCTGAAATAATAGGAGAACTTATGTTGCCCAGGGGCAAACATGACATGGTATTCCTGCAGAAAATGGGTTACATAACCTGAAAGCTCTCTAGGCTAAAAATCTGGGAGACCTAGTCTTAGACCAAGTTCCACCCACTTCTTAGAGGTTGTTTGAACTTCTAGATGTCACGTAGCTCCTCTGGGATTTGTGTTTGTTCATTTACTTAAAAAAATAATAATTTAAGACAGAGAGTGAAAGAGAATAATACTGCCAAATATATTAATTCTCTGGACACTCATGGAAGTTAAATTTGGTAATATTTGTGAAGCTTCTCAGAACATAAAAATATCCAGTTAAAACACTAGCAGCAATGGGCTTGGGTTATGGTGTGGAGGGTGGTGGGATGTTGAAGCCTGGTTAAAGTTAGGGCCACTTTTTTCAAGCTACCGGGACCCTGGGGGAGAGAAAACTATTGAAGGCATCTGCAAATTTTAAAAGGTTTCTCTTGTTCTGTAGATTAATATCACTGTAGGAGTATCCTTGAATTTCACTGACAGGAGCCCATGTTTTGTTTTAGCACTTTGCTTAACAGGGTGTGGAAATTTAAGTGCCAACATTCAAGTTGAAAGTTAACACCCTGGAAAGATGAATGAAAGTGCTGCCAGTCTGCGAATACTACCCAAGTTCAGGCTCTAAAACAAAACCTGCAGCTGATTTTCTTGCATCTAGAATTTCTTTCGCAGCTGCAGTCATAAAGACCTTTATCACACTTCTTTTGCTTTTTCTCTGAAACTAAAAATATAGGTTCTGAGGTCACAGCTCCCTAAGATGAAGGTAAATTCTCAATGTGGGAGTTTCTATTAATCTAGTTTCCAAGTTCAATATGTTGCCCCTATAATGGAATCACAGCAACGCAGAATCCTTATACACATACTGGTCTTGAATTCTTTTTCCCATGGGGTTACCCTAGATTCTCTGACCCTAATGAATCAGACAAGAAACGCTTTCATTCTACAAACACTATCATTTTACAAAGACTAATGATGAGAATTCCACAGCTTCCCCAAAGTTAAAATGTCAGGCTGAAATACAGCTGGCTGTAGATTGTACTCTAGAAAGCTGTTTCTACTTATTTCTAGTTCGGACTTGAAAATAAAATCTTCCTGTCTTCATTGATATAAAATCTACAGCGAAGAATTAGTGTATTTAGAGGTTGACCATTTTATTTATAGTTTCATCAATTCTGATGAAAGATTCTTTATAGCCTCTCCACCCACAACTGCAAGCCCTTCTGCATCCCGACCGAGGGGCAGGAATATGAGAAAGAGAATTTCACTCTCCTGTCATCATATTTTCAAGAGTTGCTATAAAACTGTGCTACCGGTGCCCCCAAACCGTACACTTGTAGCTTACTGATCGTGGGCATTTTATCTAAGGCTATTATCTTTGCCGGGATTATTTCCACTTCCTTCTCAATGCTGTTGATTTTATTTTCTTCCCTCAAACTTTCCTGACCAGTTCATGGATGGTCAACAGGGGCTGCCTCAGTCTCCCTGTCATTCTAATAATCTGTGGCATTCCTCTCCTGAAAAGCAGTCGAGCGGCACTTTCAGAGCATCGTTAAATGCCTTAGTTAAAATGTAACCCCTAACCCTTGTGCACTGCTGATGGGAACGTAAAATGGTGCAGCTGCTGTGGAAAACAACATCATGGTTCTTCGAAAAATGACACATAGAATTGCCGTATGGTCCAGCAATCCCACCTCTGGGTATATGCCCGAAAGAACTGAAAGGAGGGACTCGAACAGATATTCGTACACCAGTGTTCATAGCAGCGTCAGTCACAATAGCCAAAAGGTGGAAACAACCCCCAAGGTGTTCAACGGATGAACAGATACACGAAACATGGTATATACACACAATGGAATATTTCTTAGCCTTAGAAAGGAGGGAAATTCAAACACATACCATAACGCGGATGAACCGTGAAGATGTTATGCTAAGTGAAATAAGCCAAACACAAAGGGACAAATACTGCGTGATTCCACTTATCTGAGGTGCCCAGAGTGGTCAGATTCATAGAGACAGGAGGTAGAATGGTGGTTGCCAGGGACTGGGAGGAGGGAAAGGGAAGTTATCATTTAATGTGTGCCAAGTTTCAGTTTGCAATGATGAAAAAGTTCTGGAGATGGATGGTGGCGATTGTTGCACACCAATGTGAGTCTACTTAATGCCACTGAACTGTACATACACTTAAAAATGGTTAAAATGGCAAATTTTATGTTTTGCATATTTTACCACAATTTTAAAAAATGACCAAAATAATATAGCCCCTACATTGTAGAAATCACCCTGAAGATGATCAAATAATATATTAGTGCTGCACTAAGCAATGATCGTGTTCTAACACACGTTCTCCTTTCCCCTTTCCCACCTCCACCCATCATCCCTCTCACGACTTCAGAACCACAGTCCACATATGGCTCCCTCCCTTCCAGTCCCAACTTGTCATCCTGCCCCACCCTGCCTTGGCTAATCGCCCAGATTTCTGTTATATCAGAGTTATTTATGTCCTTTCTCACCCTCTTTTACCTTACATTTGACCTTAAGTAACTCGCCAAATTGTTCTTCCTACCTGCAATCTCTTGAATGTGATTTAAAGGTAACCTGAAATAACCCATCTGTTTTGGTTGAGACTAAAGAAATCCAGGCTAGAAGCAAACAACTAAAGTCAGTGACCTCTTACATTTCCTTCTGGTTCTAACATTAAAAGAAAAACAAAACAAAACACCCTGCCCTTTCCATGCTGTAAAATGCATGTCACATGGTCTGATGATAACTGGTCTGACAAAAAAGTCACCGGCTCTTTTCTAAATCCTAAAGCAACATTTATGATCAATACCTTAGCTATGTTTTTTTCCATTCTGCTAGAATGTCTGCAGAGATCATCTTTGAGCTTAATAATTATATAACTTGTACCTGCTTGTTATAAAAGAAAAAAATTAGAAAAATACTGGTAAGAAAAGAAAAGAAAAAGACTAGGAATGGCCCATAATTCTATCCCTCAGAGATAAGCATTGCTAACACTTCAGTGTATATTCTTTCAGGGTGTTTAATTTTTTAAGACCAATAAGAAAGGACTTTCTGGAGTCCAGTTTCACATGAAAGGGACTGCTGTGTGCCTGGGGCTTGGGCAGGGACATTTGAGAAGAGATGTAAGGCACATATGTTTTCCCTGGCTTAAAAGAGCCCAAACAGACCACAAACAATGTGACGGGTGGGGTCAGGCACAGTTTAGCTCCCGATTTATTTAATTTGAGTGTCAAGGCAAAGGCATCTAAGTTTAATCGTGGTGAGTTAAATTCCTAGTGAGCCAAAGCATGGCTTCCTTGCTGGCTAAGGGACATGTCCTTCCGTACTTTAATACTCTATTGGTGAGCCTGGAAATCAAGAACTGGAGTGGACCCGAGAGGTCACTGGGTCCAAATTCTCCTCCTAGAAAAACGCTATCTGAAGTGTTCAGCAGCACTGAGCACTCTTTCCATCTTAAATCTTCCTTAATGTAAATTCCATATGGTCTCTTGGTTCCGTATGAAATTTCTCTTTTTGTCAAAGTCTCAGTGTGTGTTAATTTGAATCTATTTAAGCCTACTTCCTCATAGATGGCTTCTGTGGAGATGAATAATGACAACTTTTGTTACCTGAAGCCAGTGAGTTGTTACACGTCTTGCCTTCACCAGGCTGTTTAGATTGCACTGTATGGAACGGCCAACATCACACCATTTTTGACCTATGAAAATAGCAGTTTCACATACTCAGATCTAGTAAACGACCCCACCTCTTCCTAGCAGAGTTCTTTATTTCTTTCGACAATCAAGGGGATTTTTACCCCTCTCAGGACCTTCTCCAATGTCCCCATAGCCTTCTCAGCATGCAGTGATCCATGTGTAGACCAGTGCCAGAGTAATTGCTAATATTACAGAGGGCCGACGCAGATATATTAATAATTAACCATTTCTACTTTTTAAAATGTCAATTCAAAATTTGAAAAATTCAAGACGAGTTAATAAGGGAAAGCCCAGGTTCACACATACTCCCATGGGTTCAGGGCTAGAAGTGGTACAGAAAAAAAGAGGTGTGATCAAAGAAATAAACAAAATTGTGAAATTCCCCTGACCAACTGTATTCCTTTCTACTACTTTAATATTTCATGACCAAAACAATCCAATATGCTTATTTTTTTCTTTCTTTCTCACCTTTAAGCTCAATCATAAATTTCCAGCAACAGTGCACACGGCACACCAGAAACCCACACCTGCTCTGGAGAAGGTCGTCCCACTGAAAAGGACCTACATCATTCAGCAGCCTCGAAAATGTTAAGCCAGGACATAAAACACAGCCATCTGGCCAACTGCCTTGAACATCTGACAGCTTAGCACAAAGGGCAGAAGCTTTCCATAGACCTAGTGAAAACAGCTTTTGTACCTTCCCTTTTGACTTCAGATAATAAAGCATCCAAAATTGTAAATCTATTGTATTCCTTTGCCTCTTTTTGGTCCAGGTTGGATCCCACTGATATTTACATAGGTAATTCTGTAGATTAAGTGAAGAATCCAGAAAACCTACCTGAGTTTGCCACTCTGCCTCCCTGGATGTGACTTTTCTCCTTGAGGCAGAGGTTAGAAAGGAATAGACAGGGTTTGGCAAAGGCCAATATTCTATGCAAACGTAAGGAATGACTCTTCTCAATTTGTTTGCCTTAGGATATTCAAGTTTTCACTTGAGATGGCTTCTCTAGCTTCCCACATAAATATATAGTTTGCTTTGAAGGTTTGGTGAAGGAAAATGAAAAAATTAAATTGATTACAAACATATTTTCTTCTGCCAAGCAATCAAGAACATAAGGTAGAATTATAGTTTCAGGCAGGAGATTTGCTCAAGGCCTTCCATAAAGTTAATGCTCTAGAACTAGGGGGTTCGTGGTCCTACAGGGCATTGTGGTTGGGCTATAGAAGTTAATTTTCATTAACTGGGTGGGAGGGACAGTGTTGCCATAGCTAAACCCGCTCTAGTTCTCCTGCCCTTCCACTGCACGTGTGTGAGTGCACACACACACAATTCATACACTCACATGTGAAACACCAAGGGCATCCTCAGGTGACAGTCAGGGACAACCACAATCTTTCTCTACAGAGGTTGGCTGTCACTCATTGTGGCACCATTCTGCACCTCTTACTGATAATGCTATTTGACAATCAACCCTTCCTCTTACCGAAGGAAGGAGGCCAGCACCTCAGTCCATCATTCTACAGGCTGACAACTCTTGGAGTACGACCTAGTACCGAGCCTGTCTCTGATTCCTGGAAATCCAGAGACATTTGGCTAAAGCCCATTGGACATGAGGATACATCCCATCTCCTCCCCTCTATTTTTAGGCTCTTTTTCAGGAATAAGAGAATTGCATGAGACAATATCAGGCCTTCAGGAAATGCCAGCGTGAATTGATAAGACAGGCCTAACCATCCCACTCTGGCTTAGCTTAGTCCCCAGCCCTCTGAGGCTATTGCCAGAAATATCCAGGAAGATAAATGTTGTAAGGTAAATACACAGAAGTTCAAGGTCAGCCACCATTTCCCCAGGGGACAGCAGCACAATATAAGCCAGATGGTAGGTACAGCTTGGAACACTGAACTAAGATTTAGGAGATGGAGGCTTTACTTCTGACCCCTACTACCTCTGAAACCTTAAGCCACTCAACCTTTCCAAATTCTTGTCAAATGGGCACAATAACACCTGACTCCCAACCCTCCTCGTGTTGCCTACTGGTGACAAAATGACCACTGATATTTGTAAACGCTATTTGAAGAGGATTAGTGAGGGCGAGGTGGTACCAGGATACCTATCCTAGAAGTTTCCAGAACTGGAGTTATAGTAGGAGAACTACAAGAGATGGTATTAGCTAAACCTAGAACAGAAAATTCAGAGCAACACTGAAGATATGGGGCTGGGAAGAAACATGGGGAGGAGGTTAAGAAAAATGAGAAGCACAGATGGTGGCACTGCTAGAAGAGAGGCTGCTAAAGGGGAGACTTACACAGTGGGTCTCGAGCATTAATTTAGGTCCCCAGTTGAGGCCTAAACCACCAAATCACAGGAAGTAAGAAGCCTGGTGTGAGCTTCAGATCTGAAAGGAAATGGTAACGATCCTGGGTAACGTATCAGAAGAGAAAGGACCAGGCCACTGAGATAATTTGGTGGTGATGCGGCCGCGCGTGCAGAAAGCCAGAGAGGCTGTGCCCTCTGCCTCCGGAGGAAGAAAGCCCTCGCGTCCCTCTAGTGCGCCTCAGGCCCAGCAAAAGGCCCTGCAATGGGCGGGGAGGTGTCCTCAGGCTGGGGACTCACTGGCAGATACTTTTCTTTAGCTCACTTGATTTCAGCTCAACACACTGTATGCTAGGCACCGGGACACAAAGAGGAGGAAGACACTGCCCCTGCCCACCGGGACCTCTCAGACCAAAGGGAGCTAGGCATGCCAGCAAATCGACTGGAAGAGGGTACTTAAGCATGGCTTGGTGACAGGTGGGCAGAGAAGTCACCTGAGGGGCATGTGTAGTCAGAAAAAGGTGGTGGTTGTGGGGATCAATAACCTATGCACAGATCATTCATAAACAGACTTTAGTTAGGCTTTTTATTATGAGATTTTCAAACACACACAAAGGTTGAGTGAGTATGATATTGAACTCTCATGTACGCATCACAGTGTGAACAACGTGGCTTGTGTTTGCTATAGCACAAGCCCCTACTTCTTTTTCCTCTTCCCTCTCTCCTTCTGGAGTAGTTTAGAGTAAATCCGAAACATCATAGAATTTTATGTAAAAATAGTTCAGTATGTTACCTCCAAAAGATAGGCCTTTGCATATATGCTCACTCTCTCTCTCTCTCTCTGTAAACTGAATTCTCACAAATTGTGAACGAAAGGGAGTATTTACGTAAGCCATCCAAGAATCCTTCACCACAAAGGGATACTGGCACTGCTGTGCTAGCCACAAGAGCCAAAACAAACAAACAAGCAGAAGACCCGTGGCCAAGCCAATAACATGCACTGGGAAACCTGGGAAAGCCGTAGCCACCCAGCTCTGGAGATGGAGTGTGAAGGTGACATTCAGGCTGAAGGAGGGAACAGGGCACACGCAAAGGTGCCAGGGGCCAACCAGTGGTATGGGAAGAAGACACCAGGGAAAATTAGTTCTTGCTGAGGAGAGGATAAGGGAACACTCTGAAAGAGCTATTTCTGGGGTCACTCAGAAAAATGGGGTAAGAGAGGAACAAAGATGATAAGTTCATGGCAAGAAAAACTAAAATCAATTTATTCAACAAATATGTGTCAGGCTCCTCCTGTGCAAGAGCTTTCTTTAGATGGAACCCAAGTCCAAGGAATTCATGGCTGGCATTTGGCATATATTATGCCAATTTGAATGTCTAGATGTCAGCTGGAGTCACCACCCGCCTCAGAATGGACAAGATTGGCTCAAATCCCCATCCTATCCCCAGTGGGTATCCAGAGCCCTCTCCACCATGTGGCGGAATTCCCAGGGGCACCACAGTGTCATGGTCACCTCTGGTTTCCGATGAATTGGTTCATTAAGTGCAGTCCCTGTGGCCCCCACAACCATGATCGGGACTCAGCAGTTTTCTGTGGTTTCCCCAAAACTCTGCTCCTGTGGGTGGTAAACTTTACCAAAGACCTCCGGGAGTTTACATGGCAGTGACCAGACAACGTCCAGTAGAATATTCGACATATCTGATTCTACATGCATGTCCTCCTTCCACCCGCTTCCCACCACCCTGCCCCGCCGGAGGATTGTGTTCACTCCGCATTTCGCCCCAGCAGGCCCTTATCTTGCTGGAGGCTTCCCCTCCCCCACACTCCCTGTCCTCACTTCTCTGCTCTCCCCCGTTCAGTTCCAGTTCAGCAACTCTGCTACTTCTCTGGTGGTTTTGACTCCCGGGAAACCATGTCACCATACCCCAATATAGTCTCCCCACCCCCAACAAGTCTGACATCAGCTGTCAGGATGCCAATATTTTTATCCAAATATGATAGAACGGATGAACAATGAATAAGTTAATTAGAAAAGCAAAGTGACAAAGAACCTGAGACAAGAAAAATGAGAAGCCAAGGGAAAAGAAGAGAACTGTCGAGAAAAATGTTGAAGGCCTGAAAGAAAAACACATATAGGGTTAGGGTAAGCAGAGCTTCAGCTAAAAATATATAACACAGATGGAATTTCAATCGTGGTTTCACATACAGTATTTCATGGACTGTTCACAAGAATCCTGAAAGATGGTGTCTATTATTATCCCATTATACAGATGAAGGAAATGAGCTTCTGGGAAGTTAAGCAATTCCCTGATGTTTTATTTTTTTATTTTATTTTATTTTTTTTTTGAGACAGAATCTCGCTGTGTTGCCCTGGCTAGAGTGCCGTGGCGTCAGCCTAGCTCACAGCAACCTCTAACTCCTGGGCTCAAGCAATCCTCCTGTCTCAGCCTCCTGAGCAGCTGTGACTACAGGCACGTGCCACCATGCCCGGCTAATTTTTTCTATATATTTTTAGTTGTCCAATTAATTTCTTTTTTTTTTTTTAGTAGAGGCGGGGTCTCGCTCTTGCTCAGGCTGGTTTCGAACTCCTGAGCTCAAACAATCCGCCCGCCTCGGCCTCCTAGAGTGCTAGGATTACAGGCGTGAGCCACCACGCCCGGCCTCCCTGATGTTTTATAGCTTGTTAAGGGGAGGAATTTCTCTGGGACTCTCTCAATTCCAAATCTAGAGCCGCCTCTGCTACCCCATAGGAAAATATGCTGGAGCTGAAGCTTAGAAGTCTCCAAAAAGGATCTAAATGTATTGTGGCTTAAGAAATAGAGCTGAATTTGAAGACAGAATTCTGTGTGTGATAGGATTGGTTTGGGACAAACTAAATAGCTCAATAGGGCAACAGCCATGCAAGTTCAGATTTTCAGATTTTTGTCTAAAAGGTGCTGCTATGGTTTGAATATTTGTCCCCTCCAAAATTTATGTTGAAATTTAATCGTCAATGTGTTAGTGTTGAGAGGTGGGAACTTTGAGAGGTGATTGGGCCATGAGGGCTGTGGCCACATGAATGGTTAGTGGGTTAACGGTTATCATCGAAGTGGGGCTGGTGGCTTTATAACAAGAAGAAGAGAGACTTGAGTGATACACTCAGCCCCTCACCATGTTATGTCCTGCACTGTCTTGGGACTCTACAGAGAGTTCTCACCAGCAAGAAGGCTCTCATCAGATGTAGCCCCTAAACCTGGAACTTCTCAGCCTTCATAACTGTAAGAAATAAATTTCTTCTCTTTATTAATTGTCCAGTTTCAGATATTCTATTGTAAGCAACAGAAAATAGACTAAGACAGACACAACATGAAAGTTTGAAAGATCATGGAAGTGAACTGGGTGGACAGAAAAGATCAAATTTATAGGTATGAGCCTTCAAAAGACAAATG